CCCCCCCCCCCCCCCCCCCCCCGGCGAAGGAAGAAAAACTGAACTAGACTTCTTCTGCGTTTAATACTTTGTTCTATCTTCGTACATGGTAATCCAGTTAGCTTTTTCTCAACGGATCAGATACTGACCACTTATAGACACGCACACATTATGTTTTTATCTTTTCTTTTTACTTTGTTTGTTTTCCTATGCCTGTGTGTACTAAAACAGAACACTTATTGGGCTGGTGCATCTGGATTTTTTTGTCTCTTTGATTTTCAATCGAAAATAACCCAAAAGTATGTAAGCTTTTTTTACATTTCACATTGCTTGCTTGAAGTAGTTATGCTCTAAAATTGATTCCTGTTTCTGGTTTTTTTTTTGGGGGGTCAAATTCCTGTTTCTGGTTAAAAGGACCTAATGTTGTGGTAAAATCGTGGCTTCGACTATGATGGTAACTACTTTGTATAAATATGTTGAAGGTTAGGTTTTCTACTTTTTGGAGTTTCATTTTCTCCTATTCTTGATAAAGTGCTGGTTTTGGTAGAAAATTTTTCAGGCNTCTACTTTTTGGAGTTTCATTTTCTCCTATTCTTGATAAAGTGCTGGTTTTGGTAGAAAATTTATCAGGCAGCCAGATGGCACATGAGAGTGCGACTCAGTGCTGTATTATAGTGGTAAAATATCTCTGAAGTGCCCTAGGTGTAGCATCCTTTGCTAGGAATGAAAGAAATGGAATTCATTCCTAAATCAGTTACGGTTCCTACTTGAATTGATTGAAGTTCTAAAAATTTTTATGTTTTGAAGTTCTGGTCGGTGGAAACACATGCTTTGGAGTAAGGAGTGATCTGTGAATTTTAATATCTTTTTTCTAGATTAACCAAAATGTTCTGTCTGTAGAGCAAAGCACTGGGAATAGTTGATTTATGTTGTGTGCTTTCTGTTCAGGTTTATATTATATCTTTCAGCTTTGTGTGACAATGCCATTCAAGGGAAAAACTTACTTCATGCAGCCATAAATGCTCTATTTTCAGCCCCCGTGCCTGGAAATGCTGAAAATAGTAACACTGATCAGAATGAGAATGCAGAACAAGTGAAACCCGGCCTACTTTGGAGTGTCTTCTACATACAGGAGCTTATTATGGTTTGCTTCTCATCTTTATATTCCTCTTTTTTCAACATACCATTGTGTGTGCGCACCTGTGTCTATTTTTCCTGTTTCTATCCCCCTGCCAATTAGTTACTGCTAGGTTGTGCGGTTAGAAGCAAGCTGGGCTTTAAGGGCTTTTTTATTTCTCTAGTTCGCTTTCCTGTGGATGTAGAAGTATATTAAGAGCCTAAAGAAGGTAGGCTTATTTAAAAAGCTTGTCCATTTGCTACTTATTGTGGGCATCCTATCAGTTATGTTAGCAATCTTCAGACATAACACATGAGACCCTTCTTGAAGCCTTGACATGTATGTTTTGTGCATGTGCAGCCGAAATTCTTGTTGATTGTTGCACCTTAATCATCAAGTGTAATGGTCGCTATGCCTCACATATCAATGCAATTTTATTATATATTTTGAGCCCTTGGTTTGACTGCTAGACTCTAATGCCATTTTGATAATTTTCCAGGGGTCATGCAAATCAGTTAGTTTTACCCCAATGCCAGATGGGAATCTAAACTACAGTGATGTTTTAGACGAGGCTATGAAGGTAGTATATTTTCTGATGTAATTCTTCAAGATTAATTCATTCACCTTGAGTGCCATGCATGGTTTCTTCTTGCTTCTCCTATAATGGTTGTGTCGATGGCTATAGCAATTTGGTCTTAGAAATTATGTAATTCATATTTTAGTGCTCACTGTAATTTGGTGAATCTGCATATGGCAGCTATTTCAGAAGATGTATCCTCATGAAGAATTCTTCCCAGAGACAGCCCAGTCCGATAAGCTTGAGGATGAGGTTGATCTTGATGTAGAGTCCTAACGATGATTTGGTTGGCCGCTAAGAGTTCTCTATCAAAGTGTGGCACCGATAACGTAAAAGCTAATTACCCATGTCTGCCTCGAATGTTGAAGAAGTAATAAGGAGACATCTGAAATGGCAGCTGTTTGTTACATGAAACAGACGAGTTTTCTGTTCAAATTGCACCAACAGGCGCTAGTAATTTGGCTGATTATTCACTATTGCAGAAGGGCTAGAGGGCATCCCATTGGTTACTTCCTTGACTATTTTTCTCACACAAACGAAGGACTGGAGAACCGTACCATTCAGTATTTTACTTCAAGTTCACTGCAAGTCTGTAACTGAGAAGCATACCATGACCCCATTTTTTTTTCTTTTTTTTTTTTTGTGTTTTTTGTTGGGACTTGAGGGAAGAGGGAGGCAGGGAGGGAGAGGAGGGGGAATAACTTTTCTAATTTTACTTGGACATTTTGCGAGATGTATCTCGTTGATTTGCATGTAAACCTGGCTTACAATATGTATCGGCTATAACATTTCAAATCATCTTTATTATATACCCCCACGTTGTTGTGTTACTATGATGTAAGTACTTGCATTTGACCCAAGGAGTTAGCCCAGTAGTAGATAAATCTCTTATGAGGGTAGGTCGGAGGTTTGAATATTTCATAAAACGTAATTCTTTAAAGTCTATGTATTTACCCCTTGTGTGGAAATATAGTTTTGTATAAGGTTTAGTATTAATTCGGTGCGTGAGCGGGGTAATATTGTGGTGATTTATTGAGACACATGAGATATAAAATAAAAATAGTACTTGCGTTCGTTTTTTAAAAATAGGATTTGTCACGTGCAGTGCAATACACTCAAATTAACTGTTAGATTTTTAAGTAAGAGACTAATTATTGTACCTAAAAATTATTTTTTGATATTATATTTGATTTTTTTTTAATTAGAATGTGACGAGTGTAAATTTTTTATTTTTATTATCAATATTTATAAATAAATGAATCAAATAATTATAATTATAATTATTTTTCAATATGAATTTTTTTTTTCATTCCTAGCACTAATGCACTGTCGTTTGAGTAGATGGAGTGAGCAGTTACTTTAGTTTTTGTTTTTGTGTACCACTTTTAGGTAGCATTGTGAGAGGTGATGTCAACGTGCTTGGCTGTGAACTAATCGTAACGTCCGATAACACAAGTAAAAGAGTGCCACTTTGCATGAACCTCTATGCCTCACGACATGGAGTTAATTACTACAATTATTCGATTTGACAATGTTTATTTTTTATTGGAATAACGAGATTTGAATCTACGATTTTAAAATTTAATTTACTGTCAAGTAAAGACGACGACCAACGAACTTTTAGTTCAATAGTATTCCTTACCTTGTCAAGACTTTACCTTCTTGAAATCAAGTGTTCAAGTTTCTCCTCCCCTTCCCAAAAAAAAAATAAAGACGACAAGGAGAGTAACTTGTTGCTATGAGTGTTAATCGAGTTAAACTGGTAAAACTTAATTATGTTGAGATTCAATTACGTTGTGACTAATCAAACTCACTCTCAAACTTATGTTTTTATTCTCGGCTCAAAAGAAGTTAATGAGTAATAAAAATCTAGTAAACTTTGTGTAGTTAATCATAAAATCAAATCTTGCTAATTTTTTTGTTCAAAAATCTATTAGAGAAGATGTAAAGAGTCTGGATCTATTTGGGGGATAAATTTCAGGTTCTTCATCCTTTGAATAAGAGTTTATGTTGCAAAATTACAATTATTTATAGACATAAGTTATTCGAACGAATTGAAACTACTCAAACCCAGTTAATTGTCGTTCAATTTTACCCCCTTTACCAAATGACTTTAGAAATCTAATCTAGTTTAGTNATACCAGTCCATACCAAACTCCATAGACAACATACCATACCAGCATACAACACACCGACTGACATACTTAATAAATTGAGCCCAGACCAACCCAAAATCAGTCCACCGACTGCACCCATAAAACAACACCGACAGCACCCATAAAACAACAAACTAGTGACCAACAACAAAGCAGCATCTCCACACCGATTGACCCAACCCAGCGACAAAATCACCCAAGTCTGCCAATAAGACGAACCTGGTCCAGCCCCAAACCCAACATAATACCCACNCACCGATTGACCCAACCCAGCGACAAAATCACCCAAGTCTGCCAATAAGACGAACCTGGTCCAGCCCCAAATCCAACATAATACCCACTCTAGCGAACCAACCCACCTCTAGGTCGCGCTCTTTGTCACAGCTTTGTGTTTTGCTTTTGTGCTCGTGATTATTTGGGACCATAGGACCTTGTAAGAGGAGTTGAATCTTTTTTTTCGTTGATCTGCTCTTGATGCAGTAAATTATTTATTTATATTTATTGGATTTCTAGGCAACGTAGCTTGATTATTTGAGAGCTTTCTAGATTTTCTTTATCTGTCGCTATCGCTCGACTGGAGGTATATTATTCTCTCTTACTTTATCCCTTTATTTATTTTAGAGTTGTTTTTCTATCACGGGTGCCCTAGTATTTTTATTGATGTGAATACTACTGAGGGACTTGAGACCCCTACAGTTGATACCTCTACCGTTGAGACATCTATTAGAACTTTCACTTTTATGTTTGACCAGNGTGAATACTACTGAGGGACTTGAGACCCCTACAGTTGATACCTCTACCGTTGAGACATCTATTAGAACTTTCACTTTTATGTTTGACCAGTATACAGTATCGGCTGGCACAGTTGCATTACCAGTATTGTTGGACATGATCTCTTAGAAAGTTACAACACAGTTGTTGAATGATCGTAACTTTGCTGAGTGGTCTTGCTCATTCAAGCTTTCTTAGGTCGTGTAGAAAAGCTTAGTTGGCTAACGAGATCTCACCCAAAGCCAGTTGATGACGACCTTGAATATTTTACGTGGTTCTCTGAGAACTGCGTCATTCTTGAATGGTTATTTGGTTCGATGGAGCCATCTGTTTGCAGGATTCACCAATTTTATAGCTCTATTCTGAAACTATGGAGCACATTATCGGAGATGTATTCCCAGTCAGGACGGAGAGTACGTGTTTATGAGCTTTCTCAAGAGCTCTCCTATGGTTGATAGGGAGATATGACCGTCCAGGATTATTATGACTATTTGACCCAGCGCTGACTTGAGTATGAGACTTTATGGGGCTCTTTGNGTTGATAGGGAGATATGACCGTCCAGGATTATTATGACTATTTGACCCAGCGCTGGTTTGAGTATGAGACTTTATGGGGCTGTTTGGCCAACATTTTTGTCATGTGTTTTGTGTTTTTGTTTTCAATTTTTGTCAAAAATAAAAACAAAAATATGTTTGGTACCTGTTTTTGGTTTTGTTTTGTTTTCGTTGTATTGGAGACAAAGGCAAAAAAATGGGAACAAAATTTTTTTGTTTCAGGAAACACGCAAAACAGAAAACACACGTTTTTTGTTTAAATGAGGTCTTACCTTCGAATCTTGTTAGCCACAAAATCCTACTTCATATGATAGAGTATAAATATGAGATCTTTTGTTTCAGCCACTCTTGTCTCTTCGCACAAATCAGTCCCTTCGCACCCCTCTCTTGTCTCAGCCACTTTCTCTCTTCTATGAAGGTAAGCAACGACTCTCTCTCCTCGTCTCTCTTTCTGTACATCTCTCTTCTCTGGAGGTCTCTCACTAACTCTCTCTCTCTTCCACTCACAGATCGACGAAGACGAAGCAAGACTCACAAATCGACAGACGAAGAAGGCTCACACGAAGAAAACTCACAGCAGAAGACGAAGAAAGTAAGTGTAACCTTTTTACTTGTTTACATATATGTATATATATATATATATATATATATATATACATACATAGATCTGTATCTATATGCATAGATCTACATAGATATATACATTACAGACCCTAATCGTATTTTTTTTTATCTGTATTTTTTTCATCACAATATACATAAATCTATATATTTGTATGGAGATTTCATTATTAATTTATCATTAGGGTTTTACAAAGCACATTGGTGTTTGTTTTGATGGCAGACCACGGTTTTGTGCTTTGATTATTTTGGTTTTATGTGGCAGACCACAATTTTGTGCTTTAATCGTATTTTTTTTTTCTGTTTTTGCTATCTCAGAAAATATGACTTGGTACATTGGGTTGTGTNCTTTAATCGTATTTTTTTTTTCTGTTTTTGCTATCTCAGAAAATATGACTTGGTACATTGGGTTGTGTGTAGAGACAAATATTATATCTGTTCCTTAGATATTTGGAGACTCATATGATTGAGTATCATTGTTTAGCCAATGTTGGATGTGAGTCCAAAAATTATATTCTGACGTGACTGTTACACTAAGAGCCCAATTGATGGGTTCTAAGATAGGCTAATGGGGATTTGGTAGCGAAAGTGGTGCTTCCATTGCGGTTCACATTTAACACATTGATTTCTTTTAGCATTGCCTCTTTGTTTGCAGGTTATGTTTTTCTTCTTTTTGTTTGCATTCCTTTCCACCCCCTTCTAAATTGTTCTAGTCATGTGGAATTTTTATTCTTCTTTTGCCTGTGACTTTACTATTGAATAATGTCTTATTTTTTGTCCCCTTTTATGAGAAAATGAAGAATACATAAATAAAAGGCTTTATAATTGTATCGAAGAAAGTGATCTAAATATTTCCAAGTTTGTTGTGCTTCCAACTTAAGTGGTACTCAATAACTTGGAGCCTCTGCTTAATTTATGGAAACTGACATCGGAAGTGATTGTCGCCTTCCCGTATATGACTATACCAACATAAGGGAATATCCATTGGTGATCCAATTCTCCCATTTTGCATCTACTTCTCTTTTGGTTGATGAGGTTGATAGCAAAATTCTAACGCATGATGCCCTTAGAACTCCAATAGTTTGCATGATTTATTTTTTTGAGAAATCAATAGTTTCAGAGTTTCAAATTTCTCATTTAAATAACATTTTTAAAATTGCAGAAACACTTATAAGAATTTTCTGGTCTACTGGAAAATTGCAAAGGAAAATAAGGTTTGTAGACATTCTTGCTTCTTGCATCCCTTGTCTTCAAGTTTTTCCTCAACAACTTATTGATTGTGGGATGGGAGGTGAAAAAACTACATACTAATTCTAATCACAGGGGTTACCAATAATTGCACTTTTAGCCACCACATTTAGAAGCAGGGATCATCTTTTGAAGAAAATTATATGCTGACATCACCAATACAAATAGCAGTTGTGAAGTTTTAAATAATATTTTCGTATTAAATTTTATTGTACTAAATTATGCTCATATTAGGGGGATGATGTATTGATGGTGGTTATATTTATTCTTTTCACCTTTTCTTTTGTCTATCAATGCATT